GCGTGCGGGGGAGGCTGGCAGCGGGCCCGGGTTCCGGAGTCACGCACGGGCAGGTGGCGACGCGCCCCGTCGCTAGTGAGCGACAGCAGCTGCGTGCGCACTTGGGGCGCTGTATGCCGCGGTACTCGGGAACTGATATATATCTCTGGTAATTACTAGTAATTACCGGCGAATTACCACCCCAAGTATTTTTTTGGTAATTTTAGGCGACGCAGCAAACAGCGTAGCAGCACAGATAGCAACCCTAGGAACTCTCCTGTTGAATGGGGACATCACTCAAGCTGACTTCGCGCAACTCAAGGCGTCACTATTGCCGCCCCCGTGAATCATCACGCTCTGAGTCGGGTGCTTTCTCCCATGATGACTGCCTGTTCAACAGGAACACATGGGAGTTTTTAGCGATAACCCGGATCTTATTATACTAGAGTATCGGAATCTACGCTAGTTGCATACTACCCCGAGAGTCGTCTATAGCGAGCAGGTCCTTGTATGCCGCTCGTGCGAGCGAACCTGCCATCGCGAGTCCAAAATCAGCACTCTCGCGAGCCACTACACTGGGCGCGTCTACGAGGGGTAGCCTAGAACCGCCCACCTGCTCTCGCTAACATATCCCGCCGGATCCCACCAAATAACTACCGTTTTTGCTTGTTATAAACTTGTTTACATGTGGTTTCCTCTATGAATGATTATTTTTCATTCTATTGTTTTCTTTGACAATGAAACAAATGATTATCTTGCCAAATATCTCTCTGCAACACAATTCAATCCATTCATAAAGCATTAGCATATTGACCAAAAATCCAGCGAGGAAAAAGGCTGATTGGATACCTCTCTCTCTATCGCCGTCTTTTCTCAGCTATATTCTGCATCCTTCGCAATGACTTTTTAAGGTCGAGAGCTGATTCAAGCGGCCAGGCACCAGTTTAGCTTAGGGCTCGCAACTTCCCGCAAGTCGAGATTCGTCACAGTATGGGTAGTTTGCATCATGGACATGGCAGTAGTCTGTGTCACAGAAGTACCCCGTCTGTTTGCAGAGAGCTCGAATTGCGGCAAGTGTCCTATCTTGAAGAGGTTTATTCTGTGATGGACTCGTGGCATGATTCCCTGCATAAAAGAATGACATCAGCGCTTTCTCGACATGACCAGCTGTTGGGTTCCATGGTGGCCATGGACAGGCCAAGCGTGTTCCAGGAGCAGTGGCGTCGTTACGCGGCGGGAAAGCGCCCAGAGCTTTCGTCTGACCAGGGCCTCGTTGGCAACCTCTGAATGCGCGTGAAAAAGGAGTCTATGGCCCGAGCCAACAACGCCGATGGCTGTGTTTGTCACAGACCTCATAGTGTTTGGAGTGAAGAGAAGGCCCAGTCATCTGGGTGGGCTGTTTTCCACCGAACCACAATGCATCAAACCCCAGGCCCTGTCTTTGAAGCACAATATTACGAGGATCCTTCGCTGGAGTGCTGAGGTGCACACGTTGGTCCAACGCTGACGACGCGAAGTTTTGTAGCGTCATCTCGCATGCTCCACACTTGCCGATGGCAGCGGCTATATTATCGTGATTCCACTTTCCGTCCGAGGGTTTACTCCCACATTCAGAGGAAGAGAGGTAGCATAGGTCGGTTGCACATACTTGTCCCTATTGTTTTTGATAATCTCTTTGTAGCTTAGGTGTCGCGCTACAGCAGCGATCCCACCGCCACTGCGGCGTACTAGCATCAGAACATCCCAGGCATCATCATTTAGTTTGATCGCGTCGCTTTCGTGATTTATATCGTAGTGGCTCTCTGAAGCG